TTCAACTTTCGGAAGGCCGATCACACTATACACCCGGCGAATCTCGCAGACACGGGTGCAACTGGAGGGGTTCATATATCAGGGCCAGGTGGCGGCCAAAACGAATCTGTGGCTAGCGAGGGATGTGGGGACAGACAGGACGATGATCAGGGATCGACAAGGATTCGACGTTCAGTGGTGGTAGTGCAGGCGGGGGCGGCAAAAGGAAAAATGTCAAACAACAGACCTTCGATGTGATCGCCGATGTCATGGATAAGCACGAGAAGCTGATGGCAACGAGTCAACGATGGTGGACAGCGCGACCAAGAAGCAATGTTCAGTTCTGACGAGGCAATGTGACATTCTCGAACGAGAGGTGGAGCTGCAGAAGGAGCACTACGAGAAGGCCGACCAGGTGAACCTGCCCTTCACTACTTCATGATGCAGCCTCCCTAAACAGATGGTTTTCAGGGTCTTCGGACCTTTCACCACTTCAGGACCATTCAGGTCTGAAAATCCTAAATGGTCCTGAAGTGGTGAAAGTTCCAAGGACCCTGAAAACCATCTGTTCAGGCAGTCTGCATCCTCAAGTGGTGAAGGGTGGTTTTCATGGTCTTCAGACCTTTCACCACTTCAAGACCATTCAGGATTTTCAGACTGCACAAAACTCTCACTTGACCATTTCAGGACACCCTTCACCACTTCAGGATGCAATCTGCCTAAATAGGTGGTTTTCAGGGTCTTCGGACCTTTCACCACTTCAGGACCATTCAGGATTTTCAGACTGCCCAAAACTCTCACTTCATAATTTTCATTCCTGAATTTTCAGCTACCCGATAACCGCTTGTGTCCGCGATCAATCTTAACGTTTGTCGGTCACTCGTCTTCAAGGTCGGCGCGATCGCCACGTGTGCGCTTTGGGAGCAGCGCCGTTGCCGTCGTCCATGTGTTGTAGTGTGTCGTGGTGGAGGTAGTGTAGACACAGGAGCGTTCGTTCTTGCCCGTCACATTGTTTGATATAGGTGTTGTTTGATTATTGTTTTAAGTATTCATTGCTCGTGTGCCCCACAGAGCGGCCTTCGGTGTCCTTTCCGTGCTCTGCGACGCATCGGTTGTTGGTGCAGTATGTTTTGCAATTTCGATTGTTGTGGTTGACTAGTGTTGTGATTGTCGAACGTGCTCTTAGAAGAGCTGCGATGATGTCGACCTTTTTTTAGGGTTGTCAACATGGATTGTCTTCGCCGATTAATGTTGCCATGCTGGACCGATGAACACGTTGCACAATGTGAAATACTTATTGTCGGACGAGAGAGGAGCAGGCCAGCAATATATGTTCTGGATACGAAGTCAGGTCTGCGTTCCAGCAGTTATGGGCTACAACTACTTACTATTGTAGCTCTCTCTTTCTCAGCTCCACTCGTCAGCACTTACACAAAAAACAAAACGTATGGCAGCGTATGATTCCATGTTCTCGAAAAAAATTCATTCGCGTTTTGCACTTTTTTTTTTTTTTTTTTTTTTTTTCCCCTTTTCC